AGGTGCTTCATTCCCAGCAACTCATTTTCTCTTGAAATAGCCTGTGAGATCGTTTTGTAGATGGAGAAATGGAGGCACAGAGAAGTTAAGTAACTTGCAAAGGTCACACGGCACCTAAGTGGCAGAGGCCAGATTCAGGCTGAGCAGTTGCGGTCTTGGGTTTTGCTGGAACCCATCACTGTACTTGTCTCCAAGCTGGAGGCTCTACCAACCCCCCGTGGCCTTCTGATCTTTATCCTCCAGGCACTGGACCATTTCCCAAGGGAGGTCCAGCAAAGTGCATCTTAACGTCCAATATTATTCTTCTTTAATTCCTTTGTGGCACCTGCTGGAGCAGCACATGCAGGCCTGTGCCAGCCATTTTGGGTCAACATTGTTTACCAGAACACTTAATAACTTAATAATGACAGAGAGAGAGTGTGCCAGGCAAATAAATAACCAGGCTGGAGTGTGCCATCAGGCTAAGGAGAGCCAGGACTGGCACTCACAGGCACTGTGCCAGCTGACAGCAGCAATTTCCAAATTCTGGGTTGCAACCCTTTAGTGGGCTGGGAAATCAACTTAGACCGTGAGCAGCCTTCCTTAAAACAATGAAACACAACAGAATAGAATAGGACGTGTCAGAGTGCATCACATGTAATTTGGGTTAAGTTATGTGTGCGGATGTATATGTGGGTCATGGCATACAATGTATTTCTTACCTTGGTTTGTGGTTGAAAAACATTCAAAAGATACTAAGCTAGACATTCTTTACTGTTATGACTAACCATGGCCCAAAATAGATTCATTTCACTATTTTGTTTTCTAATGAATTGATCAAGTTGTATATTTGTGTACTTCAACTAGGAACATATTTATATAGTGTATTGGCACTAAATGCAGTCTACCTGTAGATCTGAAACTCAGACCAGAAATCCCCTTTGATCTGGGGAGTTTGTGGCAGGTAGATGGTGGTAGGTGGTCAAAGCAGAAGCGTCAGCAGGAGCCAAAATCACTTGGAGAGAGCCCGGAATGAGCAAGGAAAGGATGGAGGGAACCACCCACCTTAGAGGCAGGAATGTAGGAAAGGAGCTCACACAACCGCTGCAATGGAAGAAACAGAGGTGGGAGGTGCATCAGGAGGCTGTTGGGATGGGAGCCAAGAGAGGAGAGAGTCTGAAGAGCAGGGAGAGGTCCAAGATGGTCAAAGGTGTCAGGTGGTCAAGTTAGATAAGAACTGAAAAGCGCACATTGAATTGAGCAACACGGAGTTTGAAGGTGACCTTGGTTGGTGCCTTCAGTCCAGTGATGGTAGTTGGATGCAGAAGGCCAAGTGATAAGAGGAAAAGACAGAGACATGAGGCAATGGACAACTCTTCCAAAACATTTGGCAGTGAAGGGGAAAGGTAAGAGGCTACTGTCCAGACAGAGATAACCGTCCTCTAGACCCTCGTCTACAGAAAGAGACAATATTCCACAAACTAGGTTTACAGGAAGGCCTACGGATATTTAATCTTTGTTAGAAGAAATGAGATGAAGTTATGTTTCTCCTCCCTTACATTTCATCATCTCTTAACAGGCAGGGGAGAATTTCTTTTAAGTGCTGAAACAAAATTTTACAACCGTGGCAATGACGGCTGTTGCTCTGGTTAAGTAACAGCTGAGATGATTTTGGAAGTATGATTCCAAATTGTAGCACATAATACAATCGGAGGTCTAGAATTAGGAGGAGGAAGAAAAAAGGGATGATAAAACAGTAAATGAAAGGAAAACTATATTGGCATAATGTTAACAACATGGCCGCTATCACTCCATAAAGAATATTGAAATAATGGACCGCATTCTGAGAACTGGGTAACTGACACTATCCCAAAGGACAAATTAAATGTCTTCTACTTTTAGGAGGAAACCAGATTTAAAATTACCTTTGATTCACCCTTTTGCTTTATCGAATCTTTCGGAGAACTTGGGCGTAGGCACCTTATCACCTGCACTGTTACTCAAGGTAAGAATTCCATGCTGAGGTTGTGGGTCTCTGGGCTGTAATTATCACTGTCTCAAGGTAGATTACCTGGTGTTGCATAATTATTGCAACATTTAGTGTTCAAGGAGTAAGGAAATTTGCATCTGAGTATAAACATTTGTAGTTAATTCTTATTTCCCCGGGGAGAGAAGAAAGCCCTGGGACCCCTAATTAAGTCACTTTGTCTAACAAGCTTTGGGCATAAAGATCTTTTTCAGAGGTGAAGGACCTATATAATTCCTAAAACAAACTTGCCACAAATGAGAAAGCAAGGGAAAATGTTCAGTTAAGAAAACACAAAGCTATGCAGAAAGGATATTGACAAATGAAACTTCCTTAGTCTGCTCTCACATCAGGGCGGGTACTTGCCTTAAGGTAAAAGCTCATCCTTTGTATTCCAGAATATTCTCGGGCCATTCAATTTACTGTTTTTGATGAACCAGCATTTTAAAAGACTTGTCTATATTGGTTAGAAATAAAAAAGTTTACCTTGAACAAGTATTTATACATCTATATGTATATCTGTCTTATAGATGAGAAATATTGCTCATTTTCCTGCATTTAAACAGTCATCTATGGGGGTCTCTAGTCTGAGAATAATTCCGTATTCCCAAATATTTTGATACATGGAATTAAATGTGTGTGTGTGTTTATGTGTTTATGGTGGGGGTGTGGACCACAGAGTTCACTTCAGATGTAAACTGTGTCCAGGAGGAAGCAGGTAGATTCCTAGGAAGAGGAAGTCTCATGTTAGTTCAACTCTTCACTGCCAATCAGCATGGATCGTTTGGGCGTCTGGAGATCAGTGTACCTTTGGAGAGGCTAAATCTTCACTGGTTATTTTTCTGTAAGTTAAGGTGCCTAAAACCCTAAATTTCTTTGTACTGTCTCTTAGTCCCTATGTGAGAGTTGAGTTTTAAGCACAAAGGAAAAAGTATGCTATGTAGTGAGAAAAAAATTAACACAAGAATTTCTCAGAAAGAACTTAGTGAATTTTTATAAGTTCTTTGAAGTTCTTGAATGACTGAATTCATTGTCCAAAGACTCAAAGAAAGAAGTTGGCATTCCCCGTTCTTTAACCTACTCCTGGATCACAGGCACAGTTTTCAAAATAACGGGTGTAGCCAGGTCCCGGAGCCAGAACGAGGCAGAGATTTTATATAATTTCTTCTTAATTAACTAACATTTTAGCTGGTTTTTTTTTTTTTTTTTTTTTTTTTTGATTGACATTCTTCTGGGTAGTTCAGTTGGTTAAAGCTGGTTCTAGCCAACTTGGATATGCGCCAGATGTCTGGAGAGAGACAAGCTCATTCTGTGTGGGGAGACTGTTCATCTCTGCACCCTTCCCTCCTCCTCCTCCTCTGCCCATAGAGTCCCATTTTGTTGAGGTGCTCATCCTGTGCGTTCAGGGTTTAAAATAATCTACCTTTCCCCAAGGCACAGGGGTGGGCCGGAGGTGACATGAAGAAGGATCATCCGACTTTAGGGCCCAATCCCAGTAGTTCCGTGTCCCTTGTCCCTGATGGACGGCTGGCCTCTTCCATGTGGCAGAGATCTTTTAGCCTTGAGCTCCCTATTTATGGCAGGGATACAAGACCCACAATTCTCACTAGATCCCTTTCTTTCACTATTCAAGGCCTGACCTGTCCTGATGACAAGCTTCAGGCATGAAACACTTGGGGAAATTCCCTGCTCAGGCTGGAAAACCCCAAACTGAAGGAACAGAGCCAACCATAAATCTGGGAGGAGCAGGCCTGGGCCCTGTTGACTAAGCCCAGAGGAAAGCAGGAGAAAGTGGCTGGCTACTTCTTTTGTTGTCCAGGCCTTTATAGCTGTTGGTCTAGAATCTCACACAGAACCCTCACCATAGGAAGTGTTCAGAGGTTATCTATGTTATCTCCAAGCAACCTCCTTGTGCAGCTGCCAGTAACCTCTAGCAGCTTGAAGGAAAAGATCATAAAAGCTCCTTAGTGTGTTCTTTCAGTTGCCTGAACAGAGCTGTAATGTTGTATACAACAGAAATATATTAGTATCTCCCTATAATTTTACACGCACACACACACAGTTTTCTGTTTATAATTTCCCTCCCCATCTCTTTGCCCTAAACATTATAATAAGCTCATTCATTCCTCACTCCTCTTGGCTGCATGATGTTTTTAAATTAGTTAGTCCTGCAGTGCTTTCCCGGGGAACAAGAGGTTGTTTGCAAATGGTACTGAGAGAGGCAAGCTGGCTATGCAGGAACGCGCTACCAATGAGACATTTAAGACCAGTAAACCGGCCCCCGACTCTTAGAGAAATGTTTGCTGTGTTGGCTCAAGGGGCAGTCAAGCCTTCTGCCCTTTAGATATAAAGATATTCTAATACTCTGCCGATGAATAAGCAGACACCATAGGGGCGAAAAACTGGTCTGCAGAGAAGTTCTCAGGCGTGGCGATTGCCTGATTGCACAAACATCTCCTGGTCGATTTTCCCCACAATCCGAGAGAGGAAGAGGCATGAATAGGAACGTGTGTTTGGAGCGGTGGGGTGGGGCGGGAGCCGAGGAGACACTTCCCCGCCCTCGGAGGGGACGGTAGAAAGAAGCAAAGCCTCGCGAGGAACCTGCCGCACGGTTCCCTTCCCTGTCCCTTCCCTGTCCCCTTCCCGGCGACCCCCTGCTCAGGGCAGAGGCCGCGGGTTTCAAGCGCTCTGGGACTGCAAGGGGAAGCACAGTCCCCCATCTCCGGCAGAAAAGGGCACGGTCACCCGCGCAGAGGGCCATCCCTGGCACAGGACCCACGCCTGTCCTCTGGCGTGTCCACGCGCACACATTCCTGCCTCGGTGCGCAACTCCCACGCCTGGGGCCCCTGGCCTGCCGGCGCCAGATCCGCCTCCCGGGCCGGACCGAGAGGGTCCTCGGCGTCTTTAAGGCTGCGGCCCGCCCCTCGGTCCTCCCCGCCCTCCCCTAGAGCCGCCGCTCCTCCGACCTCCCCAGGAGCCCGCGGCCGGCGCGCGGAGCAGGTGCGGGCGGCCCCTCGCATGCCGCTGCCCGGCCCGAGGTGGTAGCGGCGCCGCGCTCCGCCTGCCCCTCCTCCCGGCCTCACTCGGGCTCCGGAGCGCGGGGACATGTCGGTGGCGACAGGCAGCAGCGAGGCGGCCGGTGGGGCCGGCGGCGGCGGCGCGCGGGTTTTCTTCCAGAGTCCCCGGGGCAGCGCTGGCGGCAGCCCGGGCTCGAGCAGCGGCTCCGGCTCCTCCCGGGAGGGCTCGGCGGTGGCGCCCGTGGCCCCCGCGGCCGCTGCAGGGCAGGGTCAGCAGCAGCGTCGCCACCAGCAGGGAAAAGTGACAGTGAAATACGATCGCAAGGAGCTTCGGAAACGGCTCGTGTTGGAGGAGTGGATCGTGGAGCAGCTGGGACAGCTCTACGGCTGCGAGGTACCCGGGCACCGGGCCTGGAGGGTCGGGGGGCTCCCTCGTTCGATGTGCCCACACAGGGATTCTCCAGGGCTCCAGCTCCTGGGTGCGCACCGTCCTGACTCCCAGGGACCCAGCTCTGGGAGCCGGGAGCGGTGCGTTCTCTTTCCAGGGTGCCCTCTGGCCCCGGGCACCCTGATTGGGACGCCTCTGCCCGGATTCAGCTGTCGGGTGCCTGGAGAGATGCAGGTCCCCTTGATGGCTGTGGGTGATGATGTGGGGTTAGGTCTTGCTCAGTGTATTGCATTTTTCGAGCCCCGGGGGTTTCTGGGCTCTAGTTGCTGCTACTAAGAAGCGGGGCTTGGAGGGGTTCACCCCAGCTGCGCCCAACACCACGGAGAACAGCACTTGCTCCTGGGATCCTGGTAGCCCTGATTTTTGTGGAGAGGGAGCAGGAAAGGGACCCGAACCCTGCTTAACAGAAGGGAGAGGTTCTGGGCATCTTAATTCTACATCAGAATCAGGAGGCGAACCATTTCCCTTTTCCAGCCAGCCCCAACGCGTGTCCCCATAATTCCTCCTTTCATTTATCAAAGCTGCACAGGGTGAGCTTTGTTGAAGCAGCTTTCTTGCTTCCTGCCCAAGCTCCGTTTCTCCTGTTGATGGGTGCAGAGTGAATGCCTTGGGCAACCTCAGAGGGCGCCTGGATGGAAGGAAGGTAACTCAGCGGGTGGTCAGGACACTGTGACCTCTCACAGCACACTGCTCTGACAGAACTGTTTAGAATAAACTGTAACAAAGGAGGCTAGAAAAATGACCAAAGCCAATCTGATCTCTCATTTGATTCTTTATAATAACAGTAATTTTAAATGAAGTATTCTACTTCTCTTAAGGGAGTGGAGTTTCGAAAGGGTGGAGGAATGAAGGTTAATAATTTAGGATATGGCTTCTAAGCTAAAGCTATAGGTTTGTGTCCATACAACTGTTATACAACTGTTGACTCTCTTCAGGGAACATGAAAGTCAGGTGAACTCACTCACTGGCTTTCCCCCTGGTTTGGTATATTGTTTCTCACACATTTTGTGGCCTATTGTGAATACATATCTTCCTTAACATTCTCATCACACAGGGAAACAGCGTTCTCATTATGGACTACTGATGAATGGTTATGATATAATGAAGCTTGACTATATAACTAATGGGCTTGTAAAAATATATTGTTTTGCCAACCCAGCTCTTATAAAAAAAACCATTCTAATTGCATAAATAACAACTGGCCAACATCAGAAGTGTTCAAGGTTTTTTAAAATAGGAAGTTGGCAGAACTCTCCAAAGAAACAATGTATTTGAATTCGATGGGATTACTGTTGGAGTGGCGGATATGCACTGTCTTTGCCTCTGTGGGATCCAATTAATTTTCATTTATTTCACACTGGCCTTTATACTCCATTTTGTATTTGGAGAATATTTGAGGTTATAGAAAAACTGTTGTTGAAATTAACAATGCTTTAGCAGTACTCCTTTTATGGGAGACTAATTAGATGGAGCTTGGGCAACTAGAAGGAGTTCCAGCCTCTCAGTAGGTTGGCAATTCATGTATTTTCAAAATTCTTCAGAATACTTGGGAAAAAATGGAGAATTGATGGTTCACTATATTAAACAAGTAGGTATAGTTTTTGAAGGGTAAATACAACCTTGAATCCTTTCTTTGTTATTCTCTCATTTTAGACCTCCAACGTAAAGCAAAGAGCTTTGATTTGCAAGATGGGTTTTTGTGGTGAAATGATACAAGATGCCATATGCTGCCCCCTGTCATTAAAATGTGACAAACATTTCTCTTCAAGTCGTTTGTTCTGTCATTTTAGACTGAAGGAATATAAATCACTGAGGAGGTTGTTGGCAATTTGTAATTACTATGCTGATGGCACACCTCATTTAGTCACCGAAAGCATGTGGACTAGTAAGTAGCCATATAAAGGATTGTCTTCTTCCATCTGGTTCTCCACTGGTAGGGCTCTGTTTTCAGCTTGGGTTTTCTGGTCTAGAAGCTGCTTCTTGCTGATAGCTTCAAGAAGGACCTACCCTGGCTTATAGCCCTGAATCTCAGGAATACGAAGGTTAGGAAATACTCTTTTTAACACCTAAAGTTGGTAATTTTTTCAAATGTTTATCACATGAAACTGACACAGAAAGCCAATTTGCCAGATTTCAAATTGATCAAAGGTTTGAGCTAACAGCCAAATGAGGTAGGGGGATGGGGGTAATTAACACACATTTAATTTCACAAGAGATTTTATCAGGTAGGTCAGCAGTTAGATGACTTGTTTACAGAGTAGAAAATAATCTTTCGGAGTGTCGCAGAGCATGATATTTAAAATGAGACAGGAGTGGAAAGAAGAAAGGCACTTCTTGGCTGTGGTCTTATCTAAATAATTTCCTGGCTGTGGTCTTATCTAGAAATTTGCACTGGCCAGTCAGTTTTATATGGAGAATAATGTAAACGCAAGATTTGAGGAGAGCTCATTAGGTACCGGGTGGTGTTCCAGGCACTTGTATGCGCTCATTCAGTCTTTATAACAACCTTATGAAGAGGGTGCTGTTAGTATCTCTGTTTTACAGATGAGGAAACTGAGACAGAAAGGTTAAGAGGCTTTCCCAGCTCACATAGCTGGTGAATAGCAGGGAATGGGGCTGGGGGTTTGAACCCAGGCCTGCCTGTAACTTTTCAGGGTCTCATGCAAGAAAACAGATGGGGGCCCTCGTAAAACATGTCTAAATATTTTAAAGTTATGAATTAAGCTAACAAATGAGCATTTATCTACCTACTTGGACAAAAATATATTCAGAATGGCCTGGGAAGTTAGGTTTGGATTTTGAATTCTCAGACTTCCTAGAGTTCATAGCTGGAATGCAGTTGGGAGAATCTGCCCTGGGCCTGGGGCCTGCTTCCCTGGTGCACTCCCACCTGGAGAAAAGTCTAGTGTCCACATGCATGTCCAGTCTTTGTCCACACCCTCTGCCACCCCTCTACCATGCCTCTGGCTCAGACTAGTGACAAAGTCCTGCACTGGGAAGACAGATCTGGGAGGAGCCCTGGAAGTGGCTGGGTACTTGATCAAGGAATTCTGGAAACCTGGAACATAGCCTAAAACCAGTGGAAGGACATCAGTTTTGGCCGGGAGGTCCACTGGATTCCAGGAACTCTTCAGGAAGACGGGTGTGGCAGGAGCAAGGCCCAGCCCTCCTCACCCAGTTGAAGGCGTATGGTTTCACAACGCATCTTACAGTTTTTGGGATACGTAGATAAATGCTTTTATAGATTCTAAAATGCTTATTTTGTTTATATTTATTTTCCATTTCATCTTCTTGTACAGGTAGTTAAATTTTCACTTGGGAATTTGGTTATAATGAAACTGTTAGGTGAAATCTATATCCACATTGAAGGCTTTCTGTTTTAAGACATTTTCCTATCTCTTCCAAACCCTGACGGGTTTTAAGAGCATTTGCAATCTGTCATAGCGTCTATGTGGACAAGTCTTGCAAGATGACTTACTGGACAAGTTGTATCAAATTGCCCAGCATCAAGATAACATCTGTACTTCCAGTTTTGCAATTCCATTTGCTTTGGAAATAACAGCCTGTTGTTCAGAATATTGAAATGCCCGGGGCAGCCTCACCATAAGCAGACTTGTGCACTGAGGGTGTTTTCTGAGTGGTTATCCAGACGGTGCCTTTAGGAGGGCTTTCTCCTTGCTGCAGCTGTCTGCATTCTCAAAAGTGGTTTCTGGCATATTACACCTTTTCTTTTTACTTTTATTAATTTATTTTGTTACAGATGTTTCTCCTCCCCCCCCCCCCCAGACACCCTCTGCCCGATCCCACCTGCTCTCCCCCAGCATTGTTGTCCATGTCCATTGGTTACGCACACATGCATATAAGTTCTTTGGTTTATCTCTCCTCCGCCGCCCGACCCCCTCTTCTGAGGTTTGTCAGTGTGTACCCTACTATTATGTCTCTGGGTCTATTTTATTCATCAACTTATTTTGTTTGTTGTATTCTACAGATAACTGAGATCATGTGATATTTGTCTTTCTCTGATTGCTTTATTTTGCTTAGCATAATACGGCATGTCGTCTCAAAGGATAAGAGATCTTTGTCACAGCTCCATTGTGTATATGTAGCACAACTTTTTTATCCACTCATCAATTGATGAACACTTGGGCTGTTTTCAGATCTTAGCAATTATAGTGCTGCTATGAACATGGGGGTACATATATTCTTTCTGATTGGTGTTTCAGGCTTCTTAGGGTATATTCCTAGAAGCGGGATCACTGGGTCAAATGGCAGTTCCATTTTCGATTTTCTGAGGTAACACCATACTGTTTTCCATAGTGGCTGCACCAGTCTGCAGTCCCACCAGCAGTGCACTAGAGTCCCCTTTTCTCCACACCCTCGCCAACACTTGTTTGATGATTTGTTGATGGCGGCCATTCTGGCAGGTGTGAGGTGATACCTCATAGTCATTTTAATTAGCATCTCTTTGATGATTAGTGACATTGAGCGTTGATTCATATGTCTCTTGGTCATTTGTATGTCCTGTTTGGAGAAGTTCTCTGCCCATTTTTTTTTTTTTTTTTTTATCCTCACCGGAGGACATATTTTCCATTTTTTTGTTCAGGTAGAGTGGGAGGGAGAGAGAGGAAGAGAGAGAGAGAGAGAAACATCGACGTGAAAGGGACACATCGAGTGGCTGCCACCCGCACGACCAACCAGGGCCGGGGACAAACTGCAACCGAGGTACATGCCCTTAGCGGGAACCGAACCCGGGTCTCTCGGGACCGCAGGCTGATGCTCTAACCGCTGAGCCAAACCGGCCAGGGCTCTCTGCCCATTTTTTAATTGGATTCTTTGTCTTCCTTTTGTTGAGTTGTATGAGCACTCTATATATTTTGGAAATTAACCCCTTATCTGATGTATGGTTGGCAGTTATGCTCTCCCTTTCCATTCCGGTGCTGGTTTCG